CCACAAGAAAAAAAAACTCATTTTAAAAGAGGTACGGCTCACTTTTTCCTTTTTGGTTATTCATATTTTTCTACTTTCCTTCCATCATCTCAGTCTTGTGTCTTGTTAGTTATTGAAAAATGTTGATAAAATCATTTTTGAAGCTGGGCATGGTGGTGCATGCCTGTAATCCCAGCACTTGGGAGGCTGAGGCAGGATTGCTGTGAGTTTGAGGCCAGCCTGGGTTACATAGTGAGTTTAGGGCCAGCCTGAACTACAAAGGAAAACCCTGCCTTAAAAAGACAAAACAAAACAAAACAAAAAGAGTAGAATATACTGTTTTTGTTTGTTGTTTTTTCAGACAGGGTCTTACTTTGTAGTTCAGGCTGGTTTTGAACTCACTATGTAGTCCAGGATGGCCTTGAACTCACAGCAATCCTGCCTCAGCTTCCCAAGTGCTGGAATTACAGATGTGTACCACCACACCCAGCTCTAGAGTAGAATACACGGTACAAGCTTAATCCACGATCTAGAACACATGCACCCCATTAGAAATATAATCATTATGTACTACCAACATGTACTAACACAAATAAAAAGAGGGATTCTTAAAACATAGTTAGGTTAAATCTTGATAGCTTACAGAAAGGAACCAAGAAGCTATATTATATAACTCATTTTTCAGAAAACACTACTATACTCCGAATTCTTTTCAAAGAACAGTTAATTTTTTACCTTGGGAAGCTTTAGCCTGATTGAAGGGAAAGCAAATTCCTATAATACAATTTTTAAAAACACACACACAGCTATCAATATCCCAAAACAAGCCAAGTATAGTGGCACCTCCCTGTAATCCCAGACACTTAGAATGCTGAGGCAGGAGGATCACTTGAGTTTAGGAGTTCAAGGCCAGCCTGGGCAACACAGAGCTAGCTCCTTTCTCAAGAGGAAAAACAAAAACAAGGGCTGGGGATGTAGCTGAGTGACAGAGCAGCTGCCTAGTACTCTCAAGGTCCTGGTTTCAATCCTTACCATCAGAAAAAGAAAAAGAAAAAAGAAAAATCCCAAAACATCAGGGATCTTATATAAAAATTTTTAAAAACATGGGAAAGGGGCCAGGGATTTAGCTCAGTGGTTCCGTCGCCTGCCTCACAAGCACAAGGACCCAAATTTAATCCCTGGTACCAAAAAAATAAAAATAAAATATAAAAACATGGGAAAATAATCCAAAGTGTTCACAGAAGTTTCTAAGTACTGTATGTTCAACTGAGTATCAAGTGCATATAAAAAAAGTCACAAAGAGAACAATTAATTTTAAAAAATCATACAACATAAATGAAAATATTCCAAGAGGTCTACTTAAAATTTATCTGATGAAGGCCGGGGATTTACCTCAGTGGTTCTGGCACCTGCCTCGCAAGCGCAAGGTCCCGAGTTCGATCCCCGGTACCAAAAAAATAAAAAATAAAAATAAAATAAAATAAAATTTATCTAATGAAATCTTCTGACAAAATAGATAACATTATATAAATAATACAATTTCATCTGTATTTAAACCTATAATCAAGGGTCAACAGATTTTAAAAGCGGATAGAAACTGTTTTCTGTGGTCTTATTGTTGTGCTAATGCTCAAAATTTAGCTCTAAAAAACTCAAATTTGGGGGTTTCAGTAGCAGACCACTGCCGCTAACATGCATAGGTTCAACCCCAACATTGGAAACATAAAAGTTAATTTTTTCTTAGGAACTTAAAGGCTCTTTTATCAAATATAGAAGTGATATTTACTTAAAAAGCACTATGTATTTTCAATGCAAAATGTTCTGTCCACTGAAGTCTGGGAAAAAAAATTCCTATCACCACTATTATTTACAATATGCTGGCTAACAATAAACAAAACAACAAAGTAAAATAGCATAAAGTGTTTTTAATTTCAAAAATCTACAGGGGCCAGGAATTTAGTTCAGTGGTTCCGCTGCCTGCCTCACAAGTGCAAGGTCCCAAGTTCAATCCCTGATACCAAAAAAAAAAAAAGTCTACAAATATTGATGATACCCTACCATATTACCAATCAAATAAACAAATCATCCCAGTTATATTTTGAATGTTTCTCAAAAACCTCAAAAAGAGCAAAAAATATGACTATCATGCCCTTAAATTGAAAAACCTGGGCCAGGGATTTAGCTCAGTGGTTCTGCCGCCTGCCTCACAAAACACAAGGTCCCAAGTTCGATCCCCGGTACCAAAAAAAAAAACCACAGGTAATTGAAAAACCTGTCTGCCACATATGTATAAAAGAATCTCTCCTATAAGGGCTATTTTATTTTGAAAGGGGGGAAGAAGCCAGGTATGGTGACTCACACTTGTAATGCCAGCACTCAGGAGGCTGAAGCAGGAGGATCGCCAGGAGTTTCAACACCACCCTGGGATACATAGTGAAACTCCGTCTCAAAAAAACAAAAAGTAAATAAAAAATAAAGTGGGGAAAATAAATAAAATAAAGTGGGGAAGAAATTAAGCTATATTTTCCAGTAATTTTCAAAGGCTATTATATTTTGCTAATCAATCCAGCTCCCACTAATTCACAGTAGTTATTAAGCATTTCCCTTGTTACAATTTTTTTAAGCAACAAATTTTTATTATCTCACACAGTCTGAGGATTAAATTTTTTTTTTTTTGGACCAGGGATCGAACTTAGGACCTTGTGCTTGCCAGGCAGGCACTGTGCCGCTGAGCTACATCCCGGGCCTTGAGACTTAAAAATTTGAAAGTGTCTTAAACTGACTGGTTCTAGTTCAGGGTCTCCCATGAGTTGCAATCAAAATGTCATTTGTACATATTACTTTTTAAAGTTGTAAAGCTTATAAAGACTTATTGCCCACCACCAAAGTGAAATTTAAATTTCATGATCACAGCTAACTCAGTTCTGTAACATTCATCTTCTCTGAAAAGCCAACAATCGATCACTGTCACATTTAAATACATTTTTAGATGTCAAATACCCTTGAAAAAAAACTTCAAACGCTACTTTTAAAGATATCTTAAGCCCTATATACAGTAATTGGGAATTGGGTTCAGTGTGCTAAAGTGAATGAGTTCTAACCTTCCGAAGCTTTTTTTTGGTACCAGGGATCGAACTTGGGACCTTAAGCTTGCAAGGCAGGTGGGCGAACCACTGAGCTAAATCCCCAGCCCTGTGAAGCTTTCTTATTAAAATAATCAGTACTTAAAGTCAAAAAGACATAAAAATCTGAAATCAGATATAATACAGAATTCATTTAATTATGTATGAACTATAGTACAAGATGAGCAAAATGTATTATTTTTAGCTCCCTACCCATGATCAAATTTGTTTCAATTTCATATTAGGAATTAAAGAAGCTACAAATCCTACTTTTTTGTGTGATAGGGTCTCACTATGTAGTTCAGGCTGGCCTCTAACTAATGGCAACCCTGCCTGGCCCTCCCAGATGCTGGGATTACAGGCATGTACCACCATACTCAGTCTAGACTAATTTCTTTTATGTGTCCAAAATTTCAAGAGAAAAAAACATTTCTTAATATACTGTATTACAAAGAAAAAATGTTAGAAAAACTTTCCTTCACAATCATGCTTCACACATCCCTTCTGGAGACTTGATGAAAATGTACCATACAAGAAAACATAATCTTCTAAATTAAAGATTTCAATATGTTTCTAATTTGGATAGATCATAATATACCATCCAAGTCCACACACTTATCTGAAATATTTTAGTTAAGACAAATTCTTCAAGATTAGTCATACTGTTATATTAATCATCATTATTGCTTCTTTATTTTTTAAAAAGAGACGATAAGCCGGAGGTGGTGGGGCACACCTGTAGTCCCAGCACTCGGGGGGCTAGGGCAGCCATGAGCTGGATGCGGGCTTGGGCTATACAGTGAGTTCGAAGCGAGCTTGCACTACATAGTGAGAGCCTGTCTCAAAAACAAAACAAAAAAATAAACAAGTAAAAGTAAAAAAAAAGGGGGAGGAAATCAATACACAGCTTTTCACTCCCTCAATACCTCAAAGTCATTCTCCATTTCTCCCCTAAGTGAACGTTGCTCTCTTTCACTTGGCCTAAAGAAAACAGCAGACACTCTTTTGGTCTATCTTGGCAAATCCGTGTTTATATACAACCCTTATGGCCAATGCAACTGTTATGAATTGCTCAGAAACAAACACTGTAAAACAGTGGGTCCATCTGTGTGTGCCTGCGTACACACCCATGTGCCCATTCACAACGTGACCCTCCTACACACAAAAAAACTCACTTCTAGTGAACACCAATGCGTCTTCACGTCATACACAGGATAACAAAACAATAAAACCCTTCTCTTTATCTCTTTTAATGCCTCCTCCCCTAAGGCAATTCCTAAGGTTAGAGAAGAATTATTACCAGGGTGCTGCCACCTACCAACTTTAATTCAAAGCAAAGTACAACTCAATGTCATTTTTGAAGGCAGCCACGACTGAACAGCCACGACTGAAACAAAACTGCACTGTGAGATCAAGTGTCCTGGCACCTCAGTGGATTATCTACCCCCAAGATTTGACAGTACACAGGCAGAGGACCTTCTGTCCCTGCCTTGGCATCCCAGGGCGTCAACATCATCCTCTTCGTGGAAGTGATGACTAGCCAACCCCCAACGCACTGCCCCAGCCCCCCAGTACCAAAGTCCTGCTCTCCCTCCTCACAGCCCGGCGAGCAGTGGCGCCGTCCCGAGCCCCTTCCACGCCAGCGGAGGCGGGCGGTGAACACGCGCGGATCCCCAAGGGTCCCCGGGGTTCGGTGCCGGTACCGAGGAGGCATGAGTAAGGTGTTATGTGGGTCAGCACAGGACGAGAGTGGAGCTGGGCAGGCAACCCTGGAGGTCTCGCGCTGAGGGGAAGGGACGGCCGACGCCGGGGCGTGGGCAGGACGCGGGCTGGGACCCTCTCTCCTCGGGCCCTGGGGGCCGGGCCGGTTCTGAGCGCCGGTTCGGGGGTGTGTCCTACCTGGGCTGGGGCCGACGCGGGCCCTCGGGCGGAGGGCTGGGGTCCGGCTCAGAGCCAGCGCCGGCGGCGGGCCACCCTCAGCAGGCGCGGCCGCCGCCTCCCGCCCATCCCCCGCCCACTGCGGCGGGCCCGAGCGCGGCGCCCAGCTGGCCGGTCGGGGACCCCTCGGTACCGTCCGCGTTTACTGGAGGCGGCGGCGGCCACTGCCCCGACTGCCGCTGGCTATTCCCAGCCGCTGCTCTTGCACCAGCCCCTGCTCCTCCTCCTCCTGCCGCCGCCACCACCGCGTTCCCGCCGCTCCCATAGCCGCTGCGGCGACTACTGCAGAGCCTGTTGACCCGATCCGACGTTATTCTCCCCCTTCGCAACCCGGCACAGCCTAGCTCACCAGCCCTGCTGGTGCGCACGCCCACCTCTCCGCCTCGCGTGCTGATTGGAAAGCACCGTTCGAGCTCGCAGCGTCGGTTGATTAGTCCCATTGTCTATCACAAAGGGGGCGGAGAGTCAGCAGAGGTCTCCGCCCCCACCGGAGAATTGCCGCTATCTTCAGGTTTGCCTGAGAGTGCGAGTTACCGGGAAAGGAGCAGGACAATGGCAGCGTGCATGCGCGCAGGCATTCTGGTCCTCGTAGTTCCAGTCGGCACTGCAGCGGTCCTCCAGTCTGGAGGAGAGACGCAGGGCTTCGGGGACTGCGGGGGTTCACGCAGGTGTCCTCCCAGCTCAGCAGTTAACTTGGTCAGAGAGGCAGGGTTGAGACCCCAGGGCTGGGCTTTGTGAAAAAATGTCTGAAATGCATTGTCACGCTACGAATTCCAACACGGAGACAGTGGCGACGCAGGGCTGCGAATCGCGAGGCCCTGTCAGGCTTCGGGGACCCCGCACCTCCTCAGAGCCTCGCGATGGCGCTGTCCAGGGCCTCCTGGCCTGAAGCTAAGTACCTCTGGCCCGGGAGGCCGGACTTCCGGAGGTCAGCCGGGACGGCCCTCAGCTCACAGCCAGGCTGTGAAGAGCAGGGAGGGCGCAGCGGCGAGTTTAGGCAGGCGGGGGTTGGGGGGTGGGGGTGTTAAATGTGATCCTAGGGATTGAACCCAGGGCCTCTGCACGGAGATACAACCCCAGTGTTTTTGGCTTTTGTTTTTTCGGGGGGGGGGTGATTTTTTTGGTACTAGATATCGAACTCAGGACCTCGCGCTTGCCAGGCAGGCACTGTGCTGCTGAGCTAAATCCCTGGCCCTGTCTTTTGTTTTTTGTTTATTTGTTTTGAGTCGGGGGCTCACTAAGTTGCCCAGCCTGGGATCGAACATGGGATCCCCCTGTCCCAGCCTCCTAGAGTGGTGGGATTACAGGCGTTCGCTACCACCAGGTCCATCTGAAAATGTGTATTTGTTGTTTATTGTATTAGTTCTCTTTGGTGAAAGATGACCTTTCGCACATCTTTACTGACCAGTTTACAGACAGAAAACTCAGGCTCAACAACTTACCTAAGGCTCTGAAACTAATTAGTGACAGAAATTCGGTCTCAAACCTCCTGTGTTCAGTTCTCTTTCTACTTCATAATCACCGTGACTCCCAGGAGTTTGCCATGGACAGAAAGGATGGAATGAATTATAGGCTCCACTTTAAATGTTTTTTTTTTTTTTTTGCAATCAAGTGACATTACCATTAAAGCTGATTCAAATGTAGAAAAGTTAAACACGAACCTGTATTCAGTCTCAGGACTGTTCTTACAGAGTCAGTTTAATCTTGTTCAGGAATTGCCACGATTGTTTGACAGTCTTTAAAAACAAGAGGTACCCTAGTTTGTCACGTCCAGATTTTTGGACAAAAAGCAGGACAAACTGTACATTAAAGGCAATTGATAATGAGGTCATCTTGTTCTATTCAAATACAAAGAAGTTGCCAAATTTTTTCCTTTCTACTGATTAAACCTCGAGTTGCTTTTTTCCTGTTACTTTGTCTAATAGAATATAGTTCACTCCACAGCACTGGCCAGGTATGAAATTTGTATAGAAAAGAATTAAGATTTTTGTCAATAATTTTGTTTAAAATTTTAAAAGTTTATGAGGAAACATGCCCAAATTATTTGACATTATATTTAGCAATAAAGCCTTCCCCTTTCTCTGGTCTTTTCCACCTAAGAATTTTTGTCCCAGAGACTTTTTTTTTAGTTAGGGTAATTGCAAAGTAATATATTATTCAAGAGCTGGTCTTAGAATTCAGGAATCCCCTCTGAGGCTTTTTTTTTTTTTTAAGAAATAACTGCACATGTTGGCACACACTTATAATCCCAGCACTCTGGGAAACAGAAAGGAGGATGGCAAGTTCGATCCCACCCAGGGTTGTTATGGCTTGTGTCTAGATGTCCTCACAAAGCCTCATACGGTCATAGGTGGGGCTTTTTCAGAGATGGCTGGATCTAGAGTGTGTGATGCTGGGACTGATTCATGGTGTGTTGTTAGGGTTAGTGTCACTAGAGTTTAAGGGGGTTTGGGGTACCTGCCATAAGTAGTCTGGATAAGATAAAGGGGCAGAAAGACACTGTTAAAGTCCCTTGTTGCTGTCTTCTGCATGCAGTGAACTGTGTCTCCTCTGGGATGCCCCTCTGGCTTGCCACTGTGCCTCAGAGCCAGCCAATTACAGACTGAAGCCTCTACAAACTGTGAGCTAAATAAACCTTTTCCCCTTTAACTTTGGGTGTCAAGTATTTTGTCTCAGCAATGAAAAAAGTAACTAAGACACAGAGTAACTTATCAACTTAGAACCTGTCTCAAAATATAAAAAGGAGTGCCCCCACAACAAAAGGCTGGGGGTGTAGCTCAGTGGAAAAACCCTTGGTTCAATCCTTAGTACCAAAAAAAAAAAATTCCCCACTGATCCCCTTTTTATGTAGCACTTTCCATACTGAATTGGGCTAGCCTATGTAACAGTGAAGTTTCCCAGAAATGTAGGTGTGTTTACAGCATGTGAACCACACCCAGCTCTAGAGTAGAATATACGGTACAAGCTTAATCCACGATCTAGAACACATGCACCCCATTAGAAATATAATCATTATGTACTACCAACATGTACTAACACAAATAAAAAGAGGGATTCTTAAAACATAGTTAGGTTAAATCTTGATAGCTTACAGAAAGGAACCAAGAAGCTATATTATATAACTCATTTTTCAGAAAACACTACTATACTCCGAATTCTTTTCAAAGAACAGTTAATTTTTTACCTTGGGAAGCTTTAGCCTGATTGAAGGGAAAGCAAATTCCTATAATACAATTTTTAAAAACACACACACAGCTATCAATATCCCAAAACAAGCCAAGTATAGTGGCACCTCCCTGTAATCCCAGACACTTAGAATGCTGAGGCAGGAGGATCACTTGAGTTTAGGAGTTCAAGGCCAGCCTGGGCAACACAGAGCTAGCTCCTTTCTCAAGAGGAAAAACAAAAACAAGGGCTGGGGATGTAGCTGAGTGACAGAGCAGCTGCCTAGTACTCTCAAGGTCCTGGTTTCAATCCTTACCATCAGAAAAAGAAAAAGAAAAAAGAAAAATCCCAAAACATCAGGGATCTTATATAAAAATTTTTAAAAACATGGGAAAGGGGCCAGGGATTTAGCTCAGTGGTTCCGTCGCCTGCCTCACAAGCACAAGGACCCAAATTTAATCCCTGGTACCAAAAAAATAAAAATAAAATATAAAAACATGGGAAAATAATCCAAAGTGTTCACAGAAGTTTCTAAGTACTGTATGTTCAACTGAGTATCAAGTGCATATAAAAAAAGTCACAAAGAGAACAATTAATTTTAAAAAATCATACAACATAAATGAAAATATTCCAAGAGGTCTACTTAAAATTTATCTGATGAGGGCCGGGGATTTAGCTCACTGGTTAGGCAAGATGGTCTCTTGGATCACTTAAGCAAAACCAGCTGCCATATCTTGAAGACATTCAAGCTCCTCATGGAGAGGTCACTGGCAAGGAGCCCACTCTCCTGGGCTGTCCCTGGGATACCAGTCCTTTAGCCGTGGTTAAGCCTTTAGATGACCAGAGACCCAGGAGGTATATTGACAACCACCTTGCACAGCACCCCAAGCTGGAGTCACCCAGCTAAGGTGCTTCCAGCATCCAGACCCACAAAAACTATGTGATTAATGTTTAGGGTTCAGTCCCCAGTACCAAAAATAAATAAATGTTTATTGAAGCCTTAAGCCCTGATTGGTCCTGTAGCAATAGATAACTAATACAGTAAGACTTCAGAAAATAAGGCAGAGGTGTTTAGGAGAGGAGTTGGTAAACTAGACCACACTCTAAACCCTTGGGACCCTCAGGAGTTTCATCTCATTTAGCCTGTGTCAGCTACATTCTGATTATGACAAATTTATTCACTACCATTTTGTTTCGGAAACTTCATTCTTTTTCCTTTTTTTTTTTTCTTTCTGGTTTTTGGTTTTTTTCTTTTCTTTTTAAGCAGGGTCTTCCTATGTAGTTCAGGCTGGCCTTGAACTCACTATGTGGCCCAGGCTGGTCAAACTTGTGGCAATCCTCCTGCTTCAACCGTCCAAGTGCTGGAATTATAGCCATGCACAGCCATGCTCAGCCTATAAAATTTCATTCTTTATTTTGTAGTGATAGACTTAATTTCTTTCTTTTTTTTTTTTGTACCAGAGATCGAACTCAGGACCTTGTGCTTGCCAGGCAGGCACAACGCCACCGAGCTACATCCCTGGCCTTAATTTCTAGTTTTTAAAATTTTAAGTACAAAGAATTAGATAAGAGAAAACTGTTGGGGAGGTGAGCAAAGTAACCTCATTTTAAGGGATATGTGTTGGCTTTAAACCTAATGACTATCAATTTGTATTTGATAATGATGGTTAAATTGACTATAATATTAGGGAAGATTGACACTGACTGGATCTAGAAAAGTGAAAAAAATTAAATGAGTTTGCATTTATAAAAGTAATTCTACCAGGGCATGATGATACACATGTAATCTCACCAGTTGGAAGGTTGAGACAGGAGGATCACTGAGTTCTAGGCCAGCCTGGACTACATAACAAGACCCTCTCTCTCTCTCAAAAATAAATAAATAAATAAATAAATAAATAGGTCTGGGAATGTAGATAAAGGCAAATGCCCTTGGATCAATCGACAGTATTAGAAAACAAAGACAAAAACAAAAAAACCCTCTAGGGGTGGGGTTATGGTGCCTGGCATGCATGAGGTCCTTGGGGTTTGATCGCCAGCACTGCAAAATAAATAAATTAAAAATTAGGGCCTGGAATTTAGCTTAGTGGTGCTGTGGCCTGCCTCTCAAACAGAAGGTCCCAAGTTGGATCCCTGGTACCAAAAAAACAAACAAACAGGAAAAAAAAAAATTA